GGAACTATTCGAAGCAGGATGTCTGCAATGATCGTAAATGTTTTATCAATAAAATTATCGTTTTTTTTAGATCTAGGCATATGGTTCGTTTCTGCTCTATTTTTGATGTATTATTCTATTTTATAGGATCTATATACAAATAATGATATTTTATATTCTACATTAATTTTATGAATCTATTTTATTCATTGAATATTACATACAAAATGAATAGATAGAACATAACAATTTCCAAAACCCGGTTAACAACATCCTCCTAATGATTGATGAATAAACGTCAGCTTTCAAAACAAAAACTGAATTGGAATTAATCGCTGGAGTAAAAGGATTCGAACCTTTGCATGTCGGTATCAAAAACCGATGCCTTTCCACTTGGCTAACATCCCTGCACCCTATCCAATAGGTCGTCTATGCGAGGTAGAGGCTCTGCGTTTTTCACTGTGATGGCATTGAGGCCTCTGTAATCAATGCACATCCTCAATGTACCCCCCTTCTTCGGTACAAATAGCACTGGAGATCCGTAGGGGGAAGTACTCGGCCGGATCCATCCCTTTTATGTCAACTCTTTCAGTTTTCGCCGAAGTTCGTCCAACTCGGCCGGAGCCATCCTATAGATCCTTCCCTTTGGGGTTTTACTCCCTGAAATGATTTTTATGGCATGGACAACCTCCCTTTCTACGACTCATGTAGGCTCTGTGAACAGATCAGGGAACTTAGCAACGACGTGTTCTATCTCTGGGGGTGTTTTAACGACCGCCCCTTTCTCAGAGACATACACTAGGTACATACCGTCCTCTTGGTTTTGTTTATAGTAGTTATAGAATGCTGATAAGAACAAGCAGCCATAGGTATCTATTATACTACTGGCTTTAAACTTAGTCAGCCTCATTGTTCTTCCATCAAGCAACTTATGGCCTGCTCATGAAGTGGGGAGGGTATCTGGCCCACTTCACCTTGAGTAGAAGCAGCTAAAACTTCCACCGGCCTCACGTGTTTCCCGAGCTAGAAGCCTGCGAAGAAGGTACCCCTACCTTAGGATGTTGCATGTTGAGCCTGCACACGGGCCCCATTTGAGGTGCCCGACGGTTGCTGAGAGGCCCCCAGGCCACGTACTATCCAGCACGCGCCCTGAAGGCCCACGACGGCCCTCCAGGCCCTAGGCAGCACGTAGGTAGATAGGTTTTCGTTTACTTACCCTTTTTCTGTGTGTGTGTGCTGTCTTATTTTTGTCTGTTCATGTGTCGTTTCGGATTCGCAGCCCCAAGGCCGGACCTTGGGACCAGGTACACCGGAGGCAGGCCCGAAACGAGGCCAGGCGCATTTTGGCGCCAAACCGGCATCGTTTCGGTCTTGCAGGACCCAAGACAGCACCTTGGGCCAGGTGCACCGGTAGACGGCCGTTTTTAGGCCAGGAGCATTTCTGCGCCACGCTGCAGCAGCAGCAAGGTCTGGATGTCCAGTAGGGACCCAAACCACCTGAGCCGTTTTAGGCCACACAGTACCATGTAGGCCCAGCGGCCCAGCACTACATATAGCTGGGCAGCAACTGGGCAACAAACAGTTAGTAGCTCACTTCTGAGCGACACGCTGCTGGTTGGAGGCTGCGCCATGTTGCGCTAGATAGTGGGGTAGAGAGTAGAGGCTAGGCGAGATAGGGAGTGGTAGAGGCCATACCTGCAAGCGGCGAGCTTACCTGGCRCCATAGCTGGGCTCCACGCGGTACCTGCACACGACAAGGACACAGTTCGTACGATGACAGCTACCTGCATGTGAGATAACGAGGAGGGATTCATCTTCTTCTCTCCCTCCTCCATCTCTCTCTCTCTCTCTCTCTCTCTCTCTCTCTCTCTCTCTCTCTCTCTCTCCTCCTTCTCCCTCCTTCCTCCTTCGTATCTTCTTCTTCTTCATTCACGAGAGTGTGAGGGGTTATTAGTAGGGATTCAGGTAGGGGTTGTAACGGGCACATTGCCCAGGATCTGATTCGACATTCCTGAGACAGACATTGTTTGGACATTTGACAAGAGACTATTTGGACTTCGTCATTGCGATCTTGGTCTACTCTCTCGCCTCCTCCCTCTTTTGTTTGTCCCTCCCCCATCTCTCATCCGTGGTTTCTCCCCATGTGTGTACGAAGGAGGGACCTTCCTTCCATGATTGCGGTCCCTCCTCTCTCTCCCATGTGTGATGTGTGATGGATGTCGGGTCAGTCCCGATCAGATCAGATCTTCTCTTTCAAGTCTTCCGTTGTGCCATTTCGTGCCATCTTGTCTGTATCGGGATGTACATTGCTTGTTGATGCTGCGCTGATCTTGCATTGTCCATTTCAGTCCTTTTCATCACATCGTGGATCCTCGGTATACTGCGCATTGCTCCCCTGAGCATGCGTTAGTTTTGGTATCGGAGCTGCAGTATGTGAATCAGGACGAGCCGGATCTGACGCGCGCACGGGGACCACCGAAGATAGATTGGGTGAGTATCGATTGATCGATCAATCGACCCTGGATCGATTGATTGATTCCGGATTGATTGATTGATTGATTGATTGATTAGGGTATACTAATTAGTCCCCAAATCGCGAAACTTTGGCCTAACTGCCGAAATCGAAAAAAAAATTATGTTTTCGATTCGTTTTCCCGCTATTTCTTTCTTTCAACAATAGCGGAGCATCTGAAGGTTCGTTTTCCTTTCTTCAACCCCGAAACTTCGTTGCTGGAGATCCGAAATACCGTGATTTTCCCATTATTTATGCCGCGATTTTTTTTAATCCGATATTTCGAAAATCTTCTTCTTGCTGAAATTCGGAATTTCGCGGCAGAGAAGTCCAAAAAAAGTTTTTTGGGAAAGTTTCGATTTTATCCCGTTATGAAAATTCCTGTTATTCTGAAGAAAAAAAATTGAAATTCAAATTTTTTTTCTTGAACCGAATTTTTTTCTGACGTTCGGAATTTCTCTTGCAAACGTTCGTTTTCAAACGGCGTACACTCTCACTTCACATATTCCGATTTTTTTCGGAAATTCCTAGGCTTGTGGAATCCTATCTTTTTCGCAAGTTCAGTGTTTCCGTTATCTCCATTTGACACTTTGATTCATTGGCAGCCTAAATTTCGAAAAAAAAAATTCCGTTCAAATTGACTACTGAGGGGATACTTGGGGGGGCCTACCGAGCTTGCAAATTCGAATTTTCTTTCTTTTTTGAAATTACTGCAAGTTCCCAATTTTTTTCTTGATTAGTGGCTCCATATCTGGGCGACCCACTTTCATTGCCCATCCCCTTTCTCTCCACCTCAACCCTTCTCCGTCCTTCTTACCTGCCCATTCACCTGCAGTTGCAGGCCAGGTAAGTCCTCGCTTCTCAGGCCAACGTTAGGGACCCGCCGCGCATGACCATACTTACTCGCTCGCAGACAGCAGCGATGGATCAGAAGGCAGGCGAGACTGACGAGGCCTACGAGGCACGGCTGGCACCCGTCCTGGCCGACACCAAGCAACGGGCAGACGCAGCGACAGTAGCACAGAAGAAGAAAGAAGCAGAGGCATAGAGACTACATCTTCTGGCTGAAGAACAGCGGCAGAAGCACGAAGCAGCAGCAGCCAGGGCAGCTGATGAGGAACGCGTACGGCGACGGGAGATCATATTCAGGGAGGAAAGTGCATTACACGCACAGGCCAAGGATTGGCAGAAGGAGGCCGAGAACGACGATCCCGTTGACGTCGGGAGCAGAGTATCTCAGCTGCTCAACCGTGTCACGGACCTCCTCGCGACTTGCATCGCGCAGCAGGAGGATATCTACTCTCTCGACCACACCAACAAGGCGTTACAACAATCGCTGGACTAGACGCTCAAGCGCGTTCAACAGCTGGAGCAGCGGGTCGCTAACGCCAATGCCAACACCGGCCCCTCCAACCTCGTCGACCGCGTCAACATCTTGGAGATAGACGTGGGGACACTTAAGACTGGGGCACAGCAGCTGCAACAGCAAGTCTGCGCAGCAGCCGGCCCTGGCACAACGACACGCAAAAGCATTGTCAAGTTCGATGGGCTCCCGATCTTCTGTGACGCATCGAAGACCGACCCCATCCAATGGTGGCGCCAGTTTGAACTCAAGCTGGACATCCACCACGTCATCGACCCAAATCGACATGCATATGTCAGGCATGGTTGGACAATATGCTGTCCGCCCATGCATGTACAGTCACCGAGTTGCACAAGTACATCACCTGGGCCGATCTGACGGCGGCATGGAAGAAGCGTTTCCAAGTAGAACCGCCCGAGCACAAGGCGATGGACAAGCTGCTGACGTTTTCGCAGAACAACATGCCAAGCGGAGACTGGATTTCCGAGTTCCAATGCCTCGCAAGCACGCCCAAGCTGCCACTGAACTTCGACGGCATCAAGCTCTATTTCATCAAGAGGTCGTGCCCGGCGTTGTAGAATGCGTTGACTCATGTCGCCGACACCCTCACTACAAGTGAGGAACTCTTCAACAAGGTCGCGCATATCATCGTGACGAACTTGGCAGCCCGGAATACGGGCCCTTCGTCAAATGCCGACCAGGGCACGCACCAACATTGGCCTAAAGTGGCCGTGGTCGCAGCGACAACGACTAGCGACCCTTCTACTTCAAACGAGGCTGTTTCGTCTGACAAGGGAGACAGACTTGCAGCTGCCCAGAATGGTGGCCGCCCCGCCAAAGGACGAGGACGTGGCAAGCCGAAGACCAACACCAATACTTCTTCTGGGCCCGGGCAAGCAGCTCCAGCTCAAGGACCTTGGACAGCGTACGGTCTGACGGAGCGCGGGTATCGTGTCCGCACCAAGTACCGTTATTGTTTGTGGTGCAATTGCGCGGCCCATGAGACCGCGAACTGCCCCACGAAAGCCAAAGGCCCCGCTCAATCGGGAAAGTGAGCTCCACCCAGAGTGTTGCGACGGCACTCTCGACGCCTACGGAACCGGTTGCCGATCGAGTAACCTCCCTCGGTTCCGGGGCACATGCGGACGTCGTAAGTCCTCCAATTCTTCATTCCTTCGAGGACTATGCTGCCCGGCTCGTACCTTCGCTGGATTCACGAGCCCAAGGACAGGATGTATGTGCGGTCTCTTCTCCGATCGGAAGCAGCAGCATTGATTCGTATTCAAGTGGACCTTCACGGGATTCGGCGTGCATGTTCAACATGAAGGACTTGGACCCGTTGACGCCCGAGGATTTTGCATGGGTTCCTCTCCCTTCCACCGGCTGCTTACCGGAGCCGCAATGCGCAGCTCTTCGCGCTCATTTACATACATACCTAGCCTTCTATGCACCACCAACTTCGCCTACGGAGGACGAGGTCGCGGTGGGGGACATTCTTGCATATGTGAGCAAGGTGGCCCGCGAGTTTCGCACGCAGCGGTACGACGACAACAACGCACCGCTCCTTTGTGTCCGCATCCAAATCGGGCAAGCGTCCTGCAACGCTTTGCTGGATAGCGGCGCGACTCGCAACTTCATTAGCCAGTCCTTCATGCAAAGGGCCGGCCTTGGACCGCAAGTTCGAAGGAAGGCACACCCTACGACGATCAAGCTGGCGGACGGTCAAACGCAACAACTCCTTGATCGCTACATCGAAGCCATCCCGGTTTATTTCGCACCTCATGCATGCGAACCGGTGACGTTCGACGTCTTGGACACGGACTTCGACATCATTTTGGGCATGGCTTGGCTTGCAAGTGTGGATCACACGGTCAACTTCCACCGGCGAACACTTACGGTTCGCGACGCGTTCGGAGCTGAAGTACCATGTACCATTCCTCCTCCGCACTCTTCGATCCGGTGCCAAGTTGTAACCGCCAAGTCTTTTCGGGCCACTTGTGCTTACGAGCGGACCGAGGAGATCGGCTTATGTTTTCTTCGAACCGTCGCGGTAGCCGACTCTTAACCTACAGACTTGTCTTCACACCCCCGGGTGGTGCGGTTGCTCGACGAATTTGCCTACGTCTTCGAGTCACCTACCGGCGTGGTGCCGGATCGGCCAATCTCTCACGAGATCATTCTCGAGGCCGATGCCGTGCCGCCAAAAGGTTGCATTTACCACATGAGCGAGGAGGAACTTACAGTACTCCGCGCGCAGCTCGACCACTTGTTGGACAAAGGCTGGATCCGGCCTAGTAGCTCACCCTATGGTGCGCCAGTTCTCTTCATTCGGAAAAAGGACAAGGACCTTCGCCTATGCATCGATTACCGCAAGCTCAATGCGCAAACCGTCAAGAACGCGGGACCTCTTCCTCGTATTGACGACCTTCTGGAGCGCTTGGGCGGCGCAAAATTCTTTTCTAAGCTGGATTTGAAGTCAGGATATCATCAGATCTCAGGACCTCGTTCAAGACACGGTACGGGCACTTCGAGTGGGTTGTTATGCCTTTTGGACTCACCAACGCCCCGACGACTTTTTAAGCGGCGATGACCAACGAGTTCCGAGCAATGTTGGACAGGTTCGTGCTGGTCTACTTGGACGACATCCTCGTCTATAACCGGACCTTGGAGGAACATCTTGACGATCTTCGACGAGTGTTGGAGACACTCCGGCGCGCCAAGTTCAAAGCCAACCGCGACAAGTGCGAGTTCGTGTGTCAAGAGTTGGAATACTTGGGCCACTTCGTCACTCCACAAGGCATCAGTCCGTTGTCGGACAAGATTCAAGCCGTCCAAGATTGGCCGGAGCCACGGAACGTCACGGATGTCCGATCATTCCTTGGCCTCGCCGGCTACTACCAACGCTTCATCAAAGGCTACTCGAAGATCGCGGCTCACTTAACCAAGCTTCAATGAGAGGACCGACCGTTTGACTTCGGGACGGACGCGCGGGAATCATTCTTGGCCCTCAAAGCCGCATTGCTTTCCGCGAAGGTATTGCGGATATACGAGCCGCTATTGCCAACGGGCGTCACCACGGACGCATCCGGCTATGGCATTGGTGTCGTCCTCGAGCAACATGACGGCGTGGATTGGCACCCAGTCGAATATTTCAGCAAGAAAGTGCCGGCCGTGCACTCCATCGACGATGCACGCAAGAAGGAACTTCTCGCCTTCGTCCATGCACTCAAGCGATGGCGGCACTTCCTCCTCGGTCAACGCCAGTTCCGATGGGTAACGGACAACAATCCGTTGGTGTTCTACAAGTCGCAAGACACTGTCAACAGCACCATTGCCCGTTGGATGGCCTTCATCGACCAATTCGACTTCTTTCCCGATCACATTCCGGAGAAGTCGAACCGCTTTGCGGATGCCCTTTCGCGGCGTCCGGACCACTGCACCACGGTCTACTCAACCTTCGAGATCGAGGATGACTTGCGGGACAGCTTCATCCGCGGCTCTCAAGCCGACCCCGAGTTTCGCGACAAGTACGCAAACTGTTCCTCTCCCAATCCGGCGCCTTCGCACTATCGGATCCAAGAAGGATACTTGCTTCTTCATTTGCGGGGGAAGGATCTTCCTTGTGTGCCGCAAGATTCACATTCGCGCACCCGGCTTCTTGGCGAGTTCCACGACGCCCCCGCCACCGGACACTTTGGAGTCAATCGCACGATTGGCCGACTACGCGAACACTTTTGGTGGCCCGGTCTCCTCGACGACGTCACGCGCTATTGCGAGTCATGCGAAGTTTGCCGACGTTGCAAACCTCGCAATCATCGTCCTTATGGCGAACTGCGACCATTGCCGGTCCCCTTGCGCCGAAGGGAAGCGATTGCCATGGACATCACCGGGTCGTTCCCCAAGCACAAGACGGGCGTCGATGGGATTCTCGCGGTGGTTGACCGCCTCACCAAGTTTGCCATGTTCTTGCCTTGCCGCTATCACGCCAAGGCACCGGAGTTGGCCGAGATTCTCTACACCGGTTGGATTCGAACCAAGGGTTACCCCAAGGAGATCGTCTGCGACCGCGACACTCGGTTCATGTCCGATTTTTGGTTGGCGCTCATCAAACGATGGGGCTCATCCCTCAACCCAAGTTCGGCTCGCCACCCCCAAACCGATGGCCAAACGGAGAGGGCACATCAGACCGCACATGTCCTTCTTCGAACTCTCATCCGTCCCGACCAGAAAGATTGGGTTGAGCGGCTGCCGGATGTTGAGTTGGCATACAACTCGTCCATCCATCCGGCTATCGGGATATCGCCCTTTGAGTTTGAGCATGGCTCGCTGGTCAATTCTCCGTTGGACACAATCCTTCCACAGACGGCAGAGAGCGACGACCACCTCCTCTTCATTCGTCGGATGCAAGAACTTTTTGTCAAGGCACGTGACCAGATGGCAAAGACGCAGCAACGTATGCGCCAACAAGGCCAACCGCCAGCGTCTTCCTTGTCCATTCCGCGCCGGCGACCTCGTATGGGTCTCCGCTGCAGAATTCAGCCTCGAACAAGACATCTCTCGCAAGCTCCTTCCGAAATGGATGGGGCCCTGGCCGGTTGAGGCACCCGCTGGGGACGCACCCGAAGGACCTTCATTCGTCATTAAGGTGCCTGCCCACTTGCCTGTCAACCCGGTCTTCCACTGTTCCAAGTTGGCCCTCTACACGCCAGAGGAACTTGACGACTTTCCCGGGCGACGATCGCAAGACCCACCGTCGATGGACGGTTTCCAAGAGGTTGGCGACATCATATCCCAGCGACGTTACGGCAACAGGCCGACTGAATTTTTGGCCCACTTCGCATACTGCACCCATAGAGCTGACCGATGGCTGACTCGTGCGGAACTTCAGGCAACAACGCCCGATGCCCTCGCACGCTACGAACAGAAGTTGAAAGGCAAGCCGACATCTTCGGCTCCACGACGCACACGCGTCCAAGTACCGCCTTCAGATCGTCAGCTTCACCCCCGACCGGCTTGACTTCATAAGGAGGGGGGGGTGTTGCATGCTGAGCCTGCACACGGGCCCCATTTGAGGGGCCCGGCGGCTGCTGAGAGGCCCCCAGGCCGCGTACTATCCAGCACGCGCCCTGAAGGCCCACTACGGCCCTCCAGGCCCTAGGCACGTAGGTAGGTAGGTTTTCGTTTACTTACCCTTTTTCTGTGTGTGTGTGCTGTCTTATTTTTGTCTGTTCAGGTGCCATTTCGGATTCGCAGCCCCAAGGCCGGACCTTGGGACCAGGTACACCGGAGGCAGGCCCGAAACGAGGCCAGGCGCATTTTGGTGCCAAACCGGCGTCGTTTCGGTCCTGCAAGACCCAAGACAGCACCTTGGGCCAGGTGCACCGGTAGACGGCCGTTTTTAGGCCAGGCGCATTTCTGCGCCACGCTGCAGCAGCAGCAAGGTCTGGATCTCCGGTAGGGACCCAGACCACCTGGGTCGTTTTAGGCCACACAGTACCAGGTAGGCCCAGCGGCCCAGCACTACATATAGATGGGCAGCAGCTGGGCAACGAACAGTTCGAGTAGCTCACTTCTGAGCGACACGCTGCTGGTTGGAGGCTGCACCATGCTGCGCTAGATAGTGGGGTAGAGAGTAAAGGCTAGGCGAGATAGGGAGTGGCGGACGCCATACCTGCAAGTGGCGAGCTTACCTGGCGCCATAGCTGGGCTCCACGCGGTACCTGGTCACGACAAGGACACAGTCAGTACGGTGACAGCTACTTGCAGGTGAGATAACGAGGAGGGCTTCATCTTCTTCTCTCCCTCCTCCATATCTCTCTCTCTCTCTCTCTCTCTCCTCCTCCCTCCTTCCTCCTTCGTATCTTCTTCTTCTTCATTCACGAGAGTGTGAGGGGTTATCTGTAGGGATTCGGGTAGGGGTTGTAACGGGCACATTGCCCAGGATCTGATTTGACATTCCTGAGACAGACATTGTTTGGACATTCGGCAAGAGACTATTTGCACTTCGTCATTGCGATCTTGGTCTACTCTCTCGCCTCCTCCCTCTTTCGTTTGTCCCTCCCCCATCTCTCATCCGTGGTTTCTCCCCATGTGTGTACGAAGGAGGGACCTTCCTTCCATGATTGCGGTCCCTCCTCTCTCGCCCATGTGTGATGTGTGATGGATGTCGGGTCAGTCCCGATCAGATCAGATCTTCTCTTTTAAGTCTTCCGTTGTGCCATTTCGTGCCATCTTGTATGTATCGGGATGTACATTGCTTGTTGATGCTGCGCTGATCTTGCATTGTCCATTTCAGTCTTTTTCATCACATCGTGGATCCTTGGTATACTGCACATTGCTCCCCTGAGCATGCGTTGACCACTCACTTTCCAAATCTTCTAAGGCTTCAGACACATCCAATGTACAGAGCATGGTTTGGTCTAGATGAGTCTGCAGGGTGACTAAAGAGTCGTTAGCTATGGCCTGCTCATGAAGTGGGGAGGGTATCTGGCCCACTTCACCTTGAGTAGAAGCAGCTAAAACTTTCACCGGCCTCACGTGTTTCCCGAGCTAGAAGCCTGGGAAGAAAGTACCCCTACCTTAGGAGGTATCTTCTGCGTGATCTTTGCGTTCTTGCACTTGTACTGGGTGTGTCTGTATTCACCACAGTTGATGCAAGCACCACGCACTCTACGGTCCCGCCACACTTCTTGATCAAGACCTGCCTTGACCCAATCAACAACTTAGGTCTAGTTGGAGGTGGCCCGCCCTTGACTCTTTTGATGGCCCTTCCCTCGGCCACCTGCCTTAGTTTTTACTACTGCGACGAGGGTGCTACCCTCAGCGATCTCCTCGCCGTCGTACTCTGAACTGTCCAACAGGTCTGTGAGCTCTTCGATCTCAATTTGAGTCCCATCGTACTCAACCATCATCAATTTACTCCCCTTCTTCCATTCCGTCTGCTGGAGTAGGCTGAGCGCTTCCTAGAGTAGCCTCTAAGTCAAAGGCTTTTCTAGATAATGTCTCAAACGAATGATACTCAAGGCGAGCCTCGCTGGTTAGCAAATTTCTGAGATTCTCTGGAAGACATCTCACAAACATGGTCTATAAGACCTGGTCATCGTAGCGTATGTCGGGAACGACGATGAGGCTCTTGACGGTAGTCGTTAGCTATCTGACCGACTTGAACTTTCGCTGCTCTAGTCTGAGCATCGCATCAGTGGCAATCTGCGCCGTTAGCCATTGCTGCTGCTCTGGCTGTTGCTGCCTGCTCTCTAGCTGCTGCGTTTGCAGCTGCCAACGCCTGACTTGCAGCTAGTGCTGTTTCCTGGGCTGCTGCTAGAGCACGGGCTCTGTGTTCGGCATGAAGCCGTCTTTCGTCTTCCAGTTGTAAGGTCTGGAACACATGCGGGACTCTAAGTGATCCCGGACGTGTTAGTCTCACATCGTCAACTCCACCCTCATCGGTGTTTGACCGGCTCATCAGTTAGGCAAACACTATCTGCACTATAACTCCTTGCTGGAGTCCTACCACAACATATGTCTGACCGACACCTAATTTTCTAAAAATAATTGTGTCCGGCAGGTCCCCTACTTGACCGATCAAGTGGCAGCCTACAACATTCACAGAAGACTGTCAACATAATCTAGCTGTACCGTGATTAGTTCACTTACAGAAGTTTTGCTTAGAACTGGCTAGGGTAGTATACAACAGTCCTAAACTAAACTGTCTGTGAGGTGTTAGCAGTCTGTCAACCAACTAATCAACAATAAAACTAAAATATGTTGCAGATGTATGAACAGTGGATATAGTTGTGTTTTTCAGTTGAGCACCAATTAGAACCTACCCTCCCCTCAATCCAACATGCYGAAGAGCATCTTTGAGCAGCAGTGTCTTCGTGTGTAATGTCGGCCCACCCCTGTGCCCCAAGTCATTGCCGAGCAAGCCAGCCCATCCACTCTTATTTACCCTCGTACAGAACGAGTTTTACCACCCGGTTTGATCTGGCTGATCAGGAGGGATTTAAGGAGAGGCCCCATCTCCTGAGGAATTATTTAACGTCGCAGACAGGACGACGATCACAGCCAATATCAACCGAGTCCCCAACCAGAAGTATTTATAGATGGTCTGGTAAGCGTCTCTTATGGGCAAGCACACCCGGCACGACTTCTATAGCGCAGCAAAGTGCCAAAATGGACAAGCAGCCATCGCATGCGTGACCTACTCCCATGGGGTTGGCATGGTGACTGTGACCCAAGTGCTTCCACCAGGGCCCTTCAGAGGCACCGCCCTTTCTCCTTCCAGATGCTTCCGGGAAGATTGTCGTCTCTCAAGGTAGCGCGCTCACGACACCTCACCAAAAGAGAGGACTCTCAAGTTGGACTCACTTCCTCGCGGTAAGAAGAGATAGAGAGGGTAGATAAGGCAAGGGAACAACATACCTGGAGATAGCTGCCCCCAACCACAGATTTTTCACCAATTGAGCTGAGTGTGCATTTGATGATCGGTCGTAGCCTCGGTACCACCCACAACTCAATTATGTGTCACCTCAGCTAAATGCCACATCAGCATGCTCTCGTACTGCCCTCGGTACAGACGTCCCCGCTTGGTCAGGCGCATCCTCCCTTTGATCACCCCATTCGCCAAAGAGTAAGACATTCGACAATCCGGGCTAGACTTCCTCCAGACCTCCATGTCCACGCAAAGTTGGACGATGGAGTCCCGACATCGGGCAAGCCTCCCAGTGATGGTTTGCGCTCGCTCCACCACTTGTCTCCTGAATCCTTTCGGCTCTACCGGTGAGTCGTTAATATGCAGTGATGCCATGGTCTCCCCAATCTCAGCCAACCGCGCTTCTTCCGGGAAAGCAGTCCGGAACGTCGCCGGAAGGGAACGACCCATTCGGCGTATACCTTATTTCTCATCTTTTGATAGCAGCTGACAAAACCACATGATGTGACCCTTTTCTGCACAATAGTTACACGTGGCCTCCTGCTGCCACGCCCAATGGCTCCGCTGTCCGTTCCCACGGCCTCGACCTCGGCCTCGTACGCCCTGCGGCTGGAACTACCCCTGATCCTGGGAACTTTGTTCTGCCGAACCGCCGCCAACACTGCCATTCCCTCCTTGGTTGTTTTGTCCACCATTCCTCCCCTATTTACGGGAGTTCCTCTGTCCGCCTCGAATTTGATTCAAGGCCTTCCTTTTCGCCATTGTCAATTTACGAGGCGACTCTTCTTCCTCCTCGCTCTCATTGCTACTTTCTTCCTCCACCGGCTCTTTCCCCTTCCTCTTACTCTTTTTCTCCTTGGCCAGCATGACTTGAAGCTTCAACCTTTCCTCTTTCATGCCTCCCATCATTTCTCTCATGCGGGCCAAGGTTTTGTAAATTTCACCGTCCTTCACCTTTCCCAACGTCACTTTTTCTCGTTCCTCCTTTTGCTGCCTCAACAGCCGGTAGATAATATCGTCAAACCTCCCCACCAGCGTATTTTGTCGGACTTTAGTCCAGTCATACCTCCCTTGCATTCCTTCAACCAACTGTGGCTGCTCGACGTCGTTGAAGTTGTCAAATGAAGATAAGACAACGATACTTAATCGGATAAGACCGAGATTAGGCTAGCCACGCGTTCAAATTCCGATAAAAACTGTTTGGCAGTACCAAACTTCTTGCGATCCACCGTCCTCAAGTCTTGGAGGTCGAGCAACCGATCGCTGAGCTGGTACTTCTCCAGCAGTCGCGCCTTGAAATCTGACCAATCTTGGGAGATCCACACCAGCTCATCGATCTCGTCTCGGTACTCCACCTTGCAGTGCCTTTTAATCATTCGAAGCATCTTCTCGTTCGTCCATGTATTGCTATATCCCAACTGTTCGAACTTGTCAGCCCAAGAAGAGGCATGATTTTATCGAATAGCGGGATATGAATCTTGGGGTAGGGCTCTCGCTGAGACTGCCGGATGATCCGTGCCAATTCTCGAATGTCATTCCTCCCATCGTCGACGTTATCGTGACGTCCAGCGGCCCCGTCCATCTAGAGACTAAAACATAAATCAAAGAAATCAGTCTAGGAGTTTGGTGACATCTATTAAGGTTTCTTTCTTACATTTGTAGAAGTTCAAAGATTACTAACCTTTTTTCTTAGACAACCACAAAAGCATAACTTTTTTACTTGTTCCATTTCCGAGTGTCGTTCCACCAGGGACAATGGTAGTTTGCCGTTATCCCCGGCAACGGCGTCACCCGTCGAGCGCATCAGCCCCCGCACGCGCGAGGGCCCTCGCGGCCGCGTCACGCACGAGATTCTTAGGCTTTCAACTTTTTTTTAGAGACAAATCGGGGATGACACAGTAACCCGCGTCGACCCCTCGCAGCTCCAACCGACTGCGCCAACTGTACATCTTGTGGTCCCCTACGACAGGATAGGTTCTCACGGGGCACAACTTACCTTCCCTAAGGGGCTGTCACCGCCCTTAGGGTTGTATCCCTACCGAGCTACTGACCCTCGTGCGAAAGTTTTTAGATGCAATCGCAGAGGTAGATCAGTCGAGGGCGTTTGCTCGTTCGCTATAGCATAGGTACACGCGGTTGAACGCCGAAGTGGACCCGAGCGTCGTTCGTCCCTGGGGCGCTGATCTCCCAGGAATAGGACCGACGTCGGTCGACTAGGACGTGATAACCTAAGCATAAGGAAATCTCAATCAATCCTAGTCCCTTCTTTCAAAGACAATTAGGAGTTACTCAGACAAAACACTTTTAAAAGAAGACTCAGGTCAACGTAAGTTGACTTATCTTCTGAAATTAATTCATACATATTACAATCATGCATACCACTCGTTCAGTTCAAACCGACAAGGGTTGACTTGACTTGTCATCCAACGACGAGCCAACTTGAGTTGACTTGTGTGAGGATTGAGCCCTCAAAGGGGCCTTGCCGTGATATACATGTTCTAGGCCAAGGCCCCCAGCAAGCATTGTGCCCGCCCTAAGTGAAGGCGGGCCAGCAAATCAACAAGAGCCCTCGGCTCAAACATTTCACGAAGTGGGGTCCATACTGTTGCCGCACGCCAGTTGGTTGGAGTGCACCGAGTACCGGATCTCTGCAAATGCAAAAGGACCAGGGCCCTTCAGAGTTGGTTCGGCCCTGGGCACATAAACATGAGGCCGACATTGCATACTGGAAATAGAGGCCGAAAATGCCAATGCGGAACCTGTCCACTATCTGAATTTGGACGCAGGCCTGGATGAAAGAGGCACAACTGTACTGCGTGGGCCCCAACCGCATTGGGCCTGGGTACAGGTACTGGGGCCCAGGCGCAGGCTCAAGGGAGGCCGCCCACACGCAACACTGGCATATAGGCAGAGAGGGCGAGTGGGCAGGGATCTTGGCCATTGCGAGCAAGGCCGGCACGCTGCTGCGTTGCAAGTGTGTTGCGCTGCGCTAGGCTGAGCAAGGCAGGCTGGCGCTAAGCGGTAGAGCGCAGCCTGGGTGCAGGGCGCTGGCGGCCATAGTCGGGCTGCCTGTGGGCGCAGAACGAGGTGAAGGGTGAAGGTGGTTCTTCGGAGGTGTAGGGCGCTGTGTGGGATAACAAGGGAGAGTGAGGGTGAAGAGAGGGACGTACCCGGTGGAGAGGAGGTCGGCATTGGTGTTGACGTCATCACTCGCTGGTCGTCAAGTTGTCTGGTTGCTTCCATGCTGTAGTTGTACTGATAGGCTGTAGAGTAGGTAGGGCGCCTGGCGCCATTCAAGAGAGAGAGCTACATTGGGTTATGCTGTTGGTGTTGCCAATTGGGCTTGGACATTGACTCACGATTCTTCGGTATCGTTCTCAAATTGATGGTTACTCGGTTCCATTGTGCTATCTGCTCTTGCTTTGACTACTTGGACTTAAGTGTAATTTTGCAATTTGGATTTCTGTGCTTCGTCCATATTCATGTTCCTTGCATTTTGGTATCGGAGCTGGTTCGATTCGCCACTTACCTTGGTGCGCTGGCGTTATACAGACTTGGTGCGTTGACGATGCTTCTTCGCAGTTGGTTCTTGTGACGTCAGGCCAACAATAGGCGCACGACGGGGTAGAGAGGTGTGCACCGGAAGGCTATACGGCATGGGTTGCCGTGGTTACTGCGGAATGTATATCGATGGTAAGCACAATGCCACTCAGGCCTGTGCTAAAGAGAAATGCCCCGACTATAGTTGTTCAGACTCGGATGTGGCGACGAAGTGAGCAGCCTCAGCAGGAAGGAGGGTCCGAAAAGGCAACGGAAGAGGCGCCTATCCACGTTAGTGGAAACGAGGAGGATACCGAGGATGAGAGGCTGCGGGCCGAAGAGGAAGAATGGGCTCGTCGACGCGCGCTAGAAAGGGATTTTGAGAAAGTGAAGGCCGAGAAAAGTGGGGAGGAGTCGAGTAAAACGAAGAACATTTACTCAATCCCCGTGGAGCAGGGGATCAATACTGAGCGACTCGTTGATAAGATCCTGGAGAGTCAGGGCGACTTGGTCACACTGAAGGAAATTTTGGCGGTGTCGCCAAAGATTCGAGAGGAATTTAAGCAGTGAATGACTCTCAAGAGAGTCATGACAGTTAAGCTCGACAAAGTCAATTCGCCAAAGGCCAACTGGTCCCCACCTGGGACAAAGATGGATTGACAAATTTTGTCGACCGACCATCTGAAGGTCGAGATTGGACAACAGGAGTACTCGGCGCTCATCGCCGATGAGGCCGAGATGAACATCATTCGCAAGCGCCATGCCATCGAGGCTTGGTTGAAAATCAACCGAGACGACTACGGGTTTTTGGAAGGAGCTAGTGGATTGACTCCCTTCTGCGGGACCTCCAGTGGCGTCCTGGTCGCAATCGAAAAAGTTAAGGTCCGTGCTTATTTCTACATGTTACCGAGAGTGGAACACGAGGTGCTTCTGGGAAGGGCATTTCTATGTCGGTCGGAAAGCATCATTATCAACAAGCATGATGAAACCATGTTTGTGACCCTCTGCGATCCTGTCTGTGGTTACTACGAGGTGGTCAAGTGTGCGAACACTGGACCCTATTGTTCGCGGAACCGACTGAACCCGAAATCTTATACCTTCCGGGAGTCAAAAAAGTTGAGAAGGGAGAAGGAATCACCAGAGGAGGAGCCGAATCCTCGCGAGTTTTCGCTGACCCTGCCTAATATTGGACAGGCGGTCGAGTTTGTGTCGACATATTCAGCGATTGATCTAAACGTGGTGCAAGCATTGACCGAGGTCATCACGGACACCGGGAGCGCAGGAACTATGCGCCTTGTTTACTCCCCGACGGAGGGGAATAGGGAAGAGGACCAAAGATTGCCCTCTACTCGACAGGGTCCTTTTTTAGAGGACGCTGACTTGACACCGACGCGAAGCGTACATACAAGAAGGTAGGTGTGAAGGCGAAGTCGGTGCCTGTTCTGATCACTCAGGAGGAGGAAGTATATTATCATGAGGAGCGTGAGTGGATCAGAGAAATGAAGGAGAGAGGCGAAAAGGGGCCGTGTCGGCTAACTAAAGAAAGAGTGGAAAGTATGATCATTGGGGAGGACCTCCTTACTCAGCAGGAAAAGGGATATATCATCGATATGCTGAAGGAAGAACATCTTGCCTATGCGTTTGATGATGATGAGCGAGGAAGGCTGAATGTTGACAAAATCCCCATGATCAGAGTTCATACTGTACCACATGAGCCATTGAATGTAAGAGGACCACGTTATCCAAATCCAGAAGATCACCGTAAAGTGGTCGCGTATCTCGATGGAAAGATCCGGACAAAGGTTGCAGATTATTCTTACGGTCCGTATGCATCTCCATAGTTCTGTTTCATCAAACTGAATGGTACTCTACGGTGGGTTCATGACCTTCAGAAGCTGAATTCGGTGACAGTGCGAGATGCAGGTGGACTCCCACATGCAGACCAACTGTCAGAATCTTGTGCAGGAAGGTCTATCATCACCTTGCTCGACTTATATTCCGGGTATGATCAATTCCCCATTTACACTGCGGATCGGTCCAAGACGACAATGCACACTCCTCGGGGGTTGATCCATATGTGTGTGGCGCCACAAGGGTGGACGAATGCCATCGCCATTGTTCAGAGATATATGATGAGGGTTATGCAACCTTATTGCCCTAACATAACTTCGCCATATATTGACGACTTGGCTATTCCAGGGCCTCGTGCAAAAGACGCGACGGAGGTGTTGTCGGACATTCGTCATTTTGTTTGGGAACACATCAATGATGTGGTGAAGGTCCTTAGGAGGTTGAAGGAGTTTAATCTCACAGCCAGTGGGGTTAAGTCTCGGCATTGTATGAAGAAAGCAATGATTTTGGGATTCCTTTGCGGCGAGAAAGGTCGCCGGCCGGATGCGAAGAAGACTAATAAAATTTTGGAATGGCCGACCCGTTTCATATCGATCACAAATGTGCAGAGTTTCCTTGGAACTTGTGGATTTTGGCGAATCTTCATCCGCAGGTTTGCCGCCAGGGTGGAGCACTTGCGGAAGCTTGTACGCAAAGGCCAAGAGTGGGAATGGGGTCCGAAGCAGCAAACAACCGTGGAGGACATAAAGACTAAGTTCCGTGAGGGCGGCTTGATCCTTCGAGTTCCTTTCTTCGACGATGATAAGGACCGTCCTTTTGTTATTAAGACTGATGCGGGTCCCACAGCCCTAGGAGGGGTCTTGATTCAGAAGGATGCTGAGGGGCAAGAAAAACCTCTCAGATCTGAGAGCAGGACTCTGAATGCTGCTGAGAGAAACTATTCACAGTTTAAAAAGGAAACTTCGGTTGTGCTTCATTGTCTCCGAGTCTTTCGGAACTATGTGTTTGGTAGACGCTTTATCCTGCGGGTGGATCCGACTGCTTTGGCTCAATCCTTAAGGAATTACTCACCTTCTAAACCCACCATTGCGCGATGGTTGACTTTGAAATTGAGCGGATTTCGGGAAAGTCAAAATCGCGAAGATGGGTTGAGTCGGGCTGAATGGCGTCCAGAGTTGGATCAGGCAGAAGGATTAGTTCCGGTCGATGCGTTTCTGAAGCAAGAAGAGTCGCAATTGAGTATTAACTTTTTTACCTACTTGACTAATGCGGCCACTCAATATGGGAGATCGATATGGAATGCTCCTACCTTTCACGAGGTACGTTCATAGCTCGTGGTGGAGGAGCCTTTCATTGAGGAGGACCCATGGGGCGAGCAGACCTCAGAAGAGATGATGAGGCTGGCCTTGACCGATGACATCGACCTTGTGCTTGATCCGCTGACGATTGAATAGGGCCATAGGCAGGTTTATAACACTTTCCAGACCGTTGGAAGGATGCCATTCATCATGAATTTGTTAGTTTATGAGGATCGCCTGAGGTTAATGAATGCAGAGAAAGGAGGCAGTGAAGTTAAAGAGGCGGTTAACGAAAAAGAGCACGAAGGGGAACATAAGAAGATAGGTATGTGGTCAGTAGCTTTCGCACGTGGGTCAGTAGCTCGGTAGGGATACGCCCCTAAGGGTGGTGACAGCCCCTTAGGGAAGGTAAGTTGTGCCTCGCGAAAACCTATCCTATCGTAGGGGACCGCGAGATGTACAGTTGGCGCACTCGGCTCGAGCGGCGAAGGGTCGACACTGGTTACTGTGTTGTCCACGAGTTGTTTCTAAAAAGTTGAAAGCCTAAGCATCTCCTGCGTGACGCGGCCGGGAGGGCCTCCTTGCTCGCTCGAGGGCCGATGCGCTCGACACCGCTCCTGATCGCCTTGTTGTATAGCAGGCACTGTTCATCAGGCGCACCTTGCTGGTCGGGGTAGTAACTGTTGAAGTCCCGTTCGAGAAGGCCGCACGTTTGCCCAAACTTGTCTTTCAAGATTTTTGTGCTGCTTGTCGTTGCAAACATGCTCTTGAGCTGCCTGCTCATTTCCATGCTCATCGTTATGCTTGTGGCCGCAGTACCTATGCTGAATAGTCCGACCGTTAAACACAATCTACTGAGTTGAGACTAGATATGCCATTGGTGAAAAGTGGCGTTTTGGACTATTGGGGTTCGGCATCGGTGCTGCTACCGAGTGCCCGGGTTGTGATGCTGTGTGATGAAAAAGTAGCAGGTTGCTTCCACTTGCTTCCGGGCAAAGTTGTTGTTGTTCTCATTAAAGGTCGATAGGTGTTAAAGCAACGTTGTGATGTGAGCT